TGGGTAGTTACTAAGAGTGAGCTCAAGCTGAATGCTTTTCTCACAGCACACCTTCTCAGCACCACTATTTTGTCTGCTTTTCCTGTCAGGGATGACTGGTGGTGGAGAGCCTTGTGGAGGCTGCAGGGAGTGACTGTTTTAGTCTCTACTTGTCAACAGCATATAAAGGGGTTGCAGTGATTTGATGAGGTGTCCCGTCTCTGTTTTTCCCACTGAAGTCAAATACAACTCCTCTAACCTGGGAGACAAAGGGGAAGATGCCCAGCTTCATGACTAGAGCCTCACAAGAAAGCATAAATGCCACACTGGCTAATAAGGCCAGGAGAAGAAATAAAGGTAGGGGAAAAGCAGAGTCCTTTGAGCCTCTGTTTCTTTCCAGTCCTCAGAAAATGCATTTGTTTTCTCTGAATCATGTTCCATGTTTGGTTTGTTTGTGATCATGAGACTAGTGTTATGCTATATGTAGTTGTTTCTTCATGCTAGAAAGGTTCATTTCTCAGCATAAAGGTGAGCATGAACTCAGCAAATGAAGTTTTAATTATGTTTCTGACATGCACTTTAGGCCAAATTTCAAATCTGGAGGGAGAGAGGGTCAGCTGTGTTTGTAGGTTCAAAGATTAGATCAAGCATCTGGAATTGGACTCGATCCTTCTGGGTCCCTTCCAAGTCAGTATATTCTGTCATATCAGTAAAAATCCTAATGAACCTAAATTCTTTAACAACCAGGTACTCAATAATTTGTTATTACACTTTGATTATTAAACCATGACACAAAGATTTTCTGGCATAACTTCAAGTGGCAAAATGGATATCGGAGTCTCACAGCACAAACTGATACAAGCAATATTAATGGATGATTACTTCTGGAATTTTGGATAGTAATACTTCTCCAGTAGTTTTTTGTTTCTTTCTTTGTTTTTTGAAAGAAAGAGTCACTTTTAACAGGAAAGGGAACCAAATCTCTCCATTATCCAGTTAAGACCCTTCAGCCTTTCTGACAAGTGTCCAGGTTAGCACATTTTAGACAGCATAGGCATATTTTGTTAGAACTTGTGGGGAATGCTGACTCAGGATAAGGCAAAACCCACAAGGCATTGAACTAATTGTGAAATGCCTTGTGTGGAAAAATTACTTCCTGATCCCTGCGGTAGCTGCCAGTGCTTTGAAACACGATGTTTGAATGTCTGCATTGTGCTCCTGCCTGCAAAATAGTAATATTAAGCTTCTAAACATAATTTGTAATATCTCCATTTATATATACATCCATTTACTGTGAACTCCTATTCTGAGAGATACTGTGTAGCTGAAATACTGCAGTGAATTTCTAAAGCATTGAGCTATTTGAGCTGACTGAGATGCAAACTGTAAACAGATGGTGAAAAGGCATGTAAGTCCATAATTTTGGGAACGTTTTTATGGCTTTATTAACCTGAGGCTTTATAAGCAATGTAGACTTTTAAATCATATTTGACTGTCTCAATATAGATGAGGTTAATATCAAGTCTACCCCCAAGTGTCTCTACCCCCAAGTGTCTTGACATAGTCCCAGGAAAATTACTTTTGATGGAAACTACCCACAAAATCCATCTTCACAGAGTGAACAGTCAGTTCTATATCAAAAGCATCTTTGTATTTGGGAACCAAAGATATTTCTCATGGTGGGCATATCTTGGAGCCTTGCAGCCAGGTAAACCCAGCCCTCCTTCTGCAGATACTCGGAATGGTTCTGGAAGAGACCCAAAGACTCTTGGACACATCCATCCCCAGAGGGTTCAGCACATCCAAATTTCTAAAAGCAGTGCAGTTATACCACCAGAGGCCAGAGAAGACACCTGGAGTGGTTTGATTTTACCCCTCATTTTTATTCCTGTTTTATTCCTGTTACAAGCCACTTTTGGCTAGCTGGCAGAGTAATAATGCAGCAGGGTTGAACAAGTGCCAATTTAATTTCTACACAGTTTCAATGCCACATTTTTGAATGTGGGCAAAGGCACAGGTACAGGAAATGAAGGGTACAAAAGTACCACAGAATGGATCTGTACCTGTTACAGGACATAAACCAGAGTAATCTACAGAAATGTACTTGAAAGTCCTGTTTGTTTAGGTTAACACCAAAACTTGCTTTTGCCAAGTGCTTACAGCTAAAGGACAGTGAGTTCCTATGATGTGCAGTCCAGTGCATGGTGGCATTTCAGTTGGCCAGTGTATAGAAGGTTCATAGCATTGCAGAGGGTTTATTCATTTAAGTAGAAGATGTCCGAATAGATCCAAATGAGAAGTTTTTCTATGCTGCCTTGCATAGCAAGGTTAAGAAAAAAACAGTGACAATTTAAATAAATCAGATGTTTTTGCTGAAGATTATACTGTCATTTTCTCCAATTATTCTTGACATTTCACCCATTCATATTGTGATCTGAGTTAATAATGGAAGAAAACCCAGCTCTTGTTGCCTTGTTTATTCTTTGTTCTCAAGGAGATAAGCTGTTTATAAAGATAACTTATTTGTTATTTAAATCACTTTTACAGAATTTGTTTGTTTCCTTGTTTGAGTTTCTAAATATATTGCAACAATTGTGATGCATCTTTGAGATGCCTATTCAATTCACTATGATTTGTACTGGAATTCATTCCTAAATGGGCACAGGTGTTGATAGCTATAATATGCTGGAATGAGTCAAAACCAATAAATGCCCAATAGAGGAAAGATGAAAGAAAATGCACTGAAAACAGCCCTTTTAGGATGTGATAAATAGGCACTTTAATTCACTACTTAATTAGGTATATAGTGCTGAAGATGTGTCTGGAGCAACTACATATTTTAAACAGCTGAACATGTTAGAGTGTAACTTCAATCACTGCTAATATTTTCAAGATCATAAACATTATTTTTAGAATTAGCAATACTATTCAGGATATAATCAACCTTTGTTTGCAAGCTGTTCTATAGTTCCCTAAAGCAACGTTTTTCAATAGTTTTGTTAAAAAAAAAGTTCATTGATATTCTGTGAAAACTATTTGCTCACTTTCTCATGTTGCATAGATATTAAATGCTAGAATGACATATAGGAATTCTGATGTTGCAAAACCAAAAGTCAGTTTAAGCACTTCCTTCGTGCTTTACCAGGAACAGACACTTTGTAAACTATTTCTTGCACAATGCACTCTGCAGGCAACCTCTCCTGAAGCCCCATCCTGGCCTTTGGGTGCATTTCTGTCAGGACTGACAGGCTGGCCAATGTTATGATTAGTGATTCCTGAGTGCCAGTGTCCTTCCCTTGGGGTGCAGGCTTTTATTCATTGTGCCTTTCTGTCAAAAGAACATTGTAGTTGCAGTGGAGGTGCTTGGATAAGGCAGTCAGGTACCTACCAAAGGAGGAAGGTGGTCAGCGTTCTCCTGAGGAGTTCTCAGAAATCACACGTGGGTATTTGAACTGATTCCAAAGACAAGGTTTACTGGATGGTAACCAGACACTGAGACTAAATCAGCCTCTAGGGTTTGAATTATCTCCAGAGAAATCTGCTTTTATGTTAACATATCTTGTTGTTGCATTTTAAATATATGTTCATAGGCATAAAAATTATACTGATAGACGTAAAACTGATACTGCTGATGTGCAGATAGGTTGTAACTCTGGCCAGGGATGTTTGTCCTTAATATTTTACGAAAATCTATCTTTAGTATTTTATGGTTCCTGTTTTTAGAGATAAAAGCAAATAGCACAAGACAGAAATTATCCACAAATACAAATTCAGTTGCCAAAACTCCCTGATGACAGCTGTGGCACCCAATACAGACATGGTGCAGCACGATACAAATTACAGACTCACAGAATAGTTAGGGTTGGAAGGGGCCTCTGGAGATCTTCTAGTCCACGGCAAGGTCACCTAGAGCAGGTGACACAGAAACATCCAGGTGGGTTTGAATGTCTCCGGAGAGGGAGAACCCATGACCTTGCTGGGGAGCCTGTTCCAGTGCTCTGCCACCCTCAGTGTAAAGAAGCTCTTCCTTGTGTTGAGGTGGACGAGGAAGTTCAGTTTGGAAACTGGAGTGCATGGGTAGGGCAGTAAGGTGTTGTGTGGAGATCCTGGTGGGTTTGGAAAGTGGATTTGTACCAAGTGGTCGAAATGGCTGTGTAGGGAGTGCACCCCTGGGGCAGCCAGGCAGGTGGGCTCCTTGGGGGCTCCCACATTGCCTGTGGCACAGTATGGGGGGAAAAGAGGGGAAAGGAGCCAGGGACCAGCAAAGGACCTAGGGGTGCTAGTTGACATGAGCCAGTGTGTGCCCAGGTGGCCAAGAAGGACACTGGCATGCTGGCCTGTATCAGCAATAGTGTGGCCAGCAGCACCAGGGCAGCGATTGTCTCCCTGTACTCAGCACTGGCAATGCTGTGCCTCAAATCCTGTGTTCGGTTCTTCTCGCTGCTAGAAGGACATTGAGGGGCTGGAGCGAGTCCAGAGAAGGGCAGTGAAGCTGGTGAAGGGTCTGGAGCACAAGTCCTGTGAGGAGCAGCTGAGGGAGCTGGGGCTGTTTAACCTGGAAGAAATGAGGCTCAGGGCTGACCTCATTGCTCTCTATGACTGCCTGAAAGGAGGTTTTAGCCAGGTGAGGGTTGGGCTCTTCTCCCAGGCAACCCGTGACAGGATAAGAAGACACAGCCTCAAGCTGCACCACGAGCGGTTTGGCTTGGACATGAGGAGGAATTTCTCCACAGAAAGGGTGATTAGATATTGAAATGTGCTGCCCGAGGAGGTGGTGGAGTCACCATCCCTGGAGGTTAAGAAAGACTGGACGTGGCACTTAGTGCCATGGTCTAGTCGACATTGTGATGTTAGGTCATAGGTTGGACACGATGATCTCAGAGGGTTTTTCCGATCTAATCAACCCTGTGATTCCGTGACCCAGACGGGAGCAGTTCGCCCAGCACCGGCCGCGCACGGGCTCCCCCACAGCCCCGCGGGACTCCATTTCCCAGCGCGCCCCGCGCCCTCGCCGCCGCCGCCGCGCCGGGAAGATGGCAGCCCTTGTGTCGCCCTTGGCTACTGCGCGCTGCCTGCTGCGGGCTGTGGGGTGCCGCGGCCGCCTGCTCCCGCCGCACAGAGGTCAGTGCCGCCGCCGCGGCTCTCCGGGGCTCGCCAGGCCCGGGCGGGTGACAGGCCGCCGGGGCACCGCGCAGGAAGGGCATCGAGGAGCGGTCGCAGGAGCCGGTGCGTGCCTTCCCTCCCCGTCGTGCCGCGGGTCTGTCCCCGGCGGAGGGGAGGTGAGTGGCGGTGCCGGGCGGGGCGCGCGGCAGCCGTCGGGACACGCACGGCCTTCGCCGCTCTGCCATGCCGGTGTCCTCGCATTCCCGGCCTGGGCTTGTCCGCGACCGAGCCCCTGAGGCGACCTGCCTGCCGGGGTGGCACCGAGAGTCGGCCCCGGTCACCCAGGTGACCCGTGGCTTCCCGAGCTGGTGGTGCCGCTTTTCCCCTGGGAAATGCGGCCTCGGTGCGCGCTGCCTGGTTAAAGCCTCGCGGCTGCACCGGCGCTCGGCGAGTGGCTGCCAGCGCTGCGGCCGGGCCTGGGGGTGTCTCGGGGACTGTTCTCCCTCAGGGACCCTCCGGTGTATAACGAACGACAGCTGTGCTCTGTCTTCACAGCCTTGCTTTGAAAGCCTCTTCAGTGCAAAAATTGATGGAGTTTTGTTAACTTGAGGCTTAGGTTAGGAGCAGAGGTCTTCTTTCTTCAATGAGAGCTCTTTGTCCTCTGCCAGTCTGGCCAAGGTGCGAGAATTCAGCTGGTGACTGGTAGGCCTCAGGACTGATAAATGTTCACATCCACACATGATGTTGTGATTGTAGAATATTTATACATCCTAAGAAAAATAGACAAGCGCTGCAGGTAGTACTGTAGTTGCATGTGTTTTATTTTATATTGGTCTAACACTTGGACTCTGTGTAGGTTGTTTTTTGTAACCAAGAAACTAGCATTTAGAGAATGTTGTCTGAGCAAATCCAGGGGCTTCAGGCAGTTTGTCTGCTTCAGTGTTAAAGAAAAGGCAGTCTTTGCATATGTTGTTTGAGGACATCAGACTGCATGGATGGGCTGCCATCATGGTATTGATTTATAATCTTGGTTTTATGATCACTGGTTTATAGTAGCTTCTTTGTTTTTGTGATTTGCTTTCCACAGTGTGTACCTTTTTGTTAATTAAGTAAAGACATGACAGGTATTATCTGTGTGAAGTCCCAGTTTCACTGGTATGCTTCTCTTCTCTTTCCCTACTTTCATCTATAGGTCAGGTTGTGAAACGGGGTGTGCAAGGAAAAAATACAAGTAATCTTCTAGCAGAATAATGTATCAGGCACATATGCAAAAAGTAGAATTCTAGTTCCAACTCATGTTTCTCTAGAAGTTTAAATACTGTGCCATATGCTGCCCAAATGAATGGCCTTCAGTGATTCATCTGAGGTCATATAACGAGACAAAAATGCAAATCCTTGTCCTTATGTCTTAGTTGCAAGCTGCTTCCTCTGGTTTGAACCATTAATTTCAGCATGTGGGCGGCTTTTATGAATTTACATGATATTGGCCTACCATCTTCAATTCATGCAGATAACTTAGTGTGTATGCCCCCCCCCCCATATGATCAGTTTGATTTTGATTTTTTTAAGCTTTCTGTTAAGCACTGGAAAGTAAATATTTTTTTCAGATCACCTCCTCTTACATTCTTGTCATTAATCATAGTGCAATATTTTGAAAGGAGCATTTGTGTATTATAGGACTATAAATGTATTTTTAGCTTTATGCCTAGCACATGATCTCTTTCCCAAGAAGCTTACCTGACAACTCTTTGTTCTTCTGCAGGTTTATTCATGTGCTTAACTTTAACACACATTTAATTTATCCAAATCCTTGTACATCTTGGGGAAATTTACCTGTTTGAGACTGATTCTGCAAAACTTGCATATATATTTAATAAAAGATGAGACAAGAGAACATGATTATTGTTTACAGGTACTAGCATAAAAAAACTTTCTGATATTTTGCTACCTTTGCTCCTATTTTCATGCAGGAAAATAACCTTTGGAGCTACAAGACTGTACAATTGCCCTTCCTTGTCACTGTGGTGTCATCTAAGAAGGAAACATTTTGCAGCTGTTCTGTTACCAGCTTAATCTTTAGTTTAAGTCTCTGGTACCACCATCTGCCTGTTGATGAAAGTGCCCTCTGACTTCCAAGTCCTCTTTTTCTGTCGTGGCAGTTGTGTTTCATAGGCAGTTTTAACAGCTTTACACTAAGAGCTTCAAGGTTTGAAGCTGTTTCGTTTCATTGTGACCCAAACTGATATTCTCAACTTCAGCTTGGATTATTGAAAGCATGACAGTTTTTAAAAGTTGGTTTCTATTTTTTCTCCTCTCTCCACACAAATTCCAGAGTTTGTGAAAAGGTCTCAGGGCAGATTGTGCTGGCAGAGCAGTAATGAAACAGATGTGATCCTTGTACCTTGCATTAGCACTGATTTAGTAGAAGCTGTTCCAGCTTCTTGATCGTGACTGTCAGCAAAACTGGCACTCGGGTGATTTTGGGATGCTGAATTTTGGTGCAGTTGTAACCTTAAGTTAGGTTTAGATGCAGTTCTCACAGCTCTTCGCAGTTCTGCATTTCTTTGCAGTTGGAAATGTTCTCTGTTTTTAAGACAAACAGTAACTAACCATTGCAGCAAAGGAGGAAGGGGGAAGTGTTAATTCTCTACCTTGTAGCTTGGTTACCCTTCTGTGCTCTCAACCTCTTGGCTGCTGTCAGGATCAGTTTTGGTATGCCACAACTCAACTTCCATTTCAGTTTGTCTTCTTGCATAAGTAACTAGTGCCTGCCTCAGAAGTGACTGTTGTTTCATAAGCTGTGTCATTGAAGCTCACATGCCTTTTTCTGTGTCATCTCAGACATCGGTTCTAAGTAGCAGTAGAAAAACTCAACAACACATTGATCAGTTTTCCAATTTGCTGCTTTTTTCCAGAGCAGAAAGTCCCTAGAGTTAAGAACACTTTTTATAATTCTATGTAGGCATTAATTATCTTTGCAGTGGTAAATTAATGTCAGTTTACCAAATACGTCTTAAGTCCCCCACTTGAAAGAATTTTTTTTATAATTGCAGATTGGCATTTTTTAAAATAAGTTTTATTTGCCTTGGTGAGATTTTCCCCTCTGATTTCTTTCTTTTCTTTGGGTGTGTCACGGTAGATCTTCACTGCAGCTGTGTCTGTGATCCTTATATGTGTAAGGATAAGGCAGAAAGGCACATGCAAAGACGTAATTATATGATATGAAATAAAGTGAGATTTTACTGACATATGTATGTTTTGGGAAGAGGAATTTAGGAAAAAAGTTGCAGCTTGGTGTCAGATTTAAAGAAGCAGGGAACGTCAGGTTAAATGTGGTAACATCCAACACTGTCCTGCACCCTGAAGGTGGGAAAGGTAGGTTATGGATAACCATGTCTAGTTTTACACTGTTCTATGTAAAACTATGTGAACAGTGAATTGATGTTGTGCTTTTCTATAGTTGTATCCAGAACACTACATAGGTGTAGAGGACCTTTTTCTGTGTGTGATATTTGAAGACTTCAGAAGTGAAAATAATAGAGTAGCAGTTTCTGTAATACAAAGATTGGATAATGAAACAGTAAGGAATAAATGAAAACCCCTATTTTGCAATGTGGAGAAGAGGGCTGTAGGACTACAGTTAGTACACTGAATCATAGGCGATTCCTATAGTTGAGTGATAGATTTTGCAATCTGTTCCACAAAATGCAGGTTAGAATGGAAGGTGCACATTTTTTTTCTGTCTTTTAGAATATTGTATCACTTGTACAGCTACCTTTTGTTGACTTATCTCTAAAACCCCACATGCTCTTCAGTAGCATCTGCCTTTTTTTTGCAGCTACAGGTGTGAGTTTATCACTTAACCAGTTACTGGGTGTCTCCTGGTAGTGGACTATAGGGTACTCCCATGATATTTAAATCCCAGTGTTCAATATTATATTAGAACAGTGAGTGATTTGTGCCAGGACACCCTCTATGGCCATTTGGGCATAGTCTCCACCTCTGTCACATGTTAATGACAGAGTACTTTCTCCCACTCCCAGGATGGTTAGCAGTGAGAACATGTAATCTGAGACAAACTCCATGCTTCTGAGCAGTCCTGCTGGTGTGCTTTTTCCATGGCCAGGAAAGTCATGAGCCGCAAACCCTTTCTTACCCCTAAATCAGCTTATTTTTTGTTTTCTTTGATCCTGTGGTAAGCAGCATAGGTATAAGGGGGCACACTGAAGCTCTCTCTCGGGGCCATCAACTTCTACGTATTGCAAAGGCACAGATAGTTCAGAGGTATGGATCACAGGACTGAGGTTGACTTTTTTCGGGAGTGGAATAGTAGAAAGCAAGATGAAAAAGTTTTGAGAGATCCTCTGAGCAGCCTGGTCTGGTGGAAGGTGTCCCTGCCCATGGCAGGAGTGTTGGATCTAGATGATACTTCAGCTCCCTTCCAACCCAAGCCATTCTGTAATTGTGTGATCTTTTCTTTTCCCCTTCCCTTCAGAGGCAGGTCAGGTTTTGCTGACCAGTTTCCTGACAGATTTTTGTCAAACTTATTTTTAAAATTCACCCCAAATCGTTGGAAGTTTTACTTCCTAGCTTCTAGACTATTGATCTATTTCACTACCTTAATTACAGTTATTACGTTATCTGTATCAATACCATAGCCTTTCATTTTATCAGTATGCTGTATGTATTTGGAGACAGCTATATGTTTTTCTTCTCTACAGGTTTTACTCACATTTTTGCAATAACAGACTTTGAACTCAACTTTCTTTATGTGACCTCTTTGGATAGGGATGAGCTAATTGTTCTTAATTCAAAACAGCAACTCAGTTCCTCCAGGAACAAGAGAATTTGGTGCAATTATTGGCTGCAGATATAAACAGTGACTGTTTTTATGGAGAAACTGTTACTTGCAATAAGTAAGCATAATTTGATCTACTAGTTCAGTTTTATTGTTTTCTAATATTCTTTCTTATAGCTATTTAAAACTCTTTTTGTGCCTTTTATGGCATCTTGTGGGTTGTGACTAATATTTTAAAAAATTAAAAATCTCTATTTACTCTGTCATTTGGTTCATATTTCTCATAACATATGATGTGAAAAATGAAAAGTGTTTTCCTGGGCAGACTATACCAGCATTGAGTAGAATAGGGTTTTTTTTCTCTGTGTGTATCTATATTGGAGGACTTGTGTTTATTTTATTTTAGTTTATTTTTTCCTCTAATAGTATTATGATATTGTCTCACTGGCATTTTTATTGATCCAGTGTAGCTGTTGGATCCTTTTTTTGCAGAGGTCCTCTTTAGCTGGTCATTCCCCATCTCCTGAGTTAGTTATTTCCTTTAAATAACATGCCTTGTCCCTGTTGAATTACATCCTAATTTTATTAGATTATTTGTCTAGTTTGTCAGAATTTACTTTCCTTCCAGAGTGTCTGCAGCCCTCTCCTGATGTTCTGTTATTTGTGTTCCCAGTCTGTCTTCTTTATTTTGCCATATATGGCATGGATGGAAATTCAGGGTTGCACCAAGATGAGATCTTGAGCCCTCTATGAAACTCTACAGCAAATATACACCTAGTTTAAGTGTAGTAATTATTTATTACATATGCTTTTTCCAGCTGTTTTGTACTTGCTTAAAAGTACTTTCACTTGCAACTTTCTTTCCTACTTTATAGATGGCAGTGCTATGTGACAACAGCGTTACTGCAATTAATATGCTATTCCTTTACCCATTAAGAAATCATATTTTTCTTTATTATACTTAACCTGTTAAATGACACTGGAAGCAAAGAAGATATTTAACAACTTTCCAGTGTATGCCATTGTTTCTGATATTAATGATTTGGCAAGCCTTCTTTGTAATCTTGTGCATTGTTTCTTTCCCTATTTATGTCTTGTTTTATGTCTAGCAATTCTGACTTTTTTTTTTTTTTTTTAATGTCTTGTTTCTGACATCATTCCTACCTGGACTTGTCCCTGTCTCTTCTAGGCAGAAGATAATGCCAGCAGATCAGGCTGTGGCATTGCAGGGCTTCAGAGCTGCTGCCTTGCTTAGTGTGGTGTTTGACAAGTTGTTTCAACAGAACTTAGAGAACTCCTGGTTTGGTCTCTTGTTTGTTGACTTTTAAGTATTTTCTGAAGTTTTTCCTAAAGGATTATCTATTTAGAGGAATGCACTTCGGAAATTTTAAATGGTTTTACCCCAATTTGAAAAAAAAAAAAAGGGTCAAAGCTTTCCTTTCAAAAACTCAGCCAAATCTTACCAACTCTCTAGCTGTACTTCTTAGAATGTATGCTTGTTAAAAATAAATAAAGGAATGTTAAAACATACTACTAGAGTTAGTAAAAAGTTAGAAATCAAGTTAATGGAAAATGAAGGGGTAACCAGTGGTTACATAGGTAAGTTGTGTATATATGTCTTCGTGTAACCTGTTAGGAATGTGTGTTGTTTATAAGGAGATGCTTTTAAGAACTTCTCTATTAATTGGCTACTTTTATTTTTACAGCCTACACAGCTCAGGCAGATGAGAAGACAGGCCCTGCTACTGCTACAGATGCTCATGCCAGAGCCTTACTGGTTTGCAATGGACCTTTAGAACATTATGACTTTTTGATTAAGCATAAAGAGCTGAAGAATGACGAGCAACAAAGAAGAGTTGTGCAGCAGCTGCAGAAATTGCATGAGAGCCTTAAAGGCTACAGCATTGATTCGAAAAATGTTCTTTCAAAGGTGGGGTTTACAATGATAAAAATATTTTTTACATTTATATTTGCTCGTAAGAATGCACTTAAAATGCATAAATTTCTGTCAAGAGCACAAATTTTATTTTTGCAAATGCAGCTTTCCAGGTAGATCAGTCTTCATGTTTCTCTCTTTCTTTTTTGGTTTGTAAAATCCAGTGGCACTCCAGAAGTAGCCAGATTAGATATTATTGAAAAATTCTGTAAGAAAATCTAATGTGGTTTTAGTTATGTCCACTGCCTACTTTTCCAAAAACGTCATTTGGCTATAGGAGAGAGGGGCCTAAATCAGGTTTTAATTCTCAAGCACTGGTATTATACTTGTGTGTTTGGATTACATAAACTGAACACTGATGTTTTGTGTTCTAACAGATATTCCACAAATAATTCCACATTATAATGTGTATCAGACATGACTTTTAAAAACAATTCTTCTCCACGTCACTAGTTTCCAGGTGAGGTAAGGAAAGAAGGCCTTGGTATAGTTTGCACTCTTCTTGTGATTTTGGGAGCATCACAGTTTCTTTTCAAAGGATTTACAAATTTTAGACATATCCTGGTTGCACGTTGCTTAACAATCACAGTGCTGTTAGCCAGGTGTTGCATCTCTGTAACTTTTCCCTGAAGCTCTTGACACAATGTTTTCTAGACTCTCTTTGACAGTGTTTTCTGCCTTTCTTGTTTTCATGCTGTTATTCTCAGATTGCTGCTCTGGTGGCCTTGCACCTGCAAATACTGATAGCACGGGCATAGCATGTTCTCATGGGAAGCAACTAGAACTGATGTGGGAATTCCCTCTTCAGCTTTCCTTGCCTCTTCTTTTGTAGATCTGAGTTTATATCCCAGAAAACCAAATGTAGCACCCAGCAAAGCAGATAAGACATTTAATTCATTGCTAAATATTGGGCATAGATGTGCACAAAAGTTGAATGCCCAGTGAATGTTCTTCATTTGCATCTGATTAACATATTTCAGTCAGGACAGTTGTAAGCTGTGGTAGGATGAAACAACAAGAGTGGGATGTTCGACTAGTCTGATGATAAAAGTATAGTGCTGGGGAAAAAGCATGGCAAAATATGCATCACTGTCCCACCTGCACTTTCCCAGCCAGAACTGGAGAGACCTCCTTGTTCCTGGGAGGAGGGAATCTGCCAGCGTTTTCCCCAGCTAGACTCTGAGTTTTTCTTTTGATTTCCCTCTTCTCTTGCACAACTTTGGAGTTTTTTTTTCATCAGAAGTAACTTTAACATTTATGGTCAATAAATGTCTTTTGCAATCCTTGCTAACAAATCTCCATGTCAGCCTTTTTAAGCATTCACTGCACAACACTCCTCATCTCATGAGCATAAATCTAAATACACTACTATTAAACTGGTAACCTAACCATACCAGATCATTCTCTTTCCTGGCACAAATACTGTCATGTTTGCAGGTTGCAGAGCAAGACTAAATGATGTAGCACAAGATAAGGGGAACCACAGCCGAGAAAAAAATGTTATGATGGAGGCATTGCCTTGACTGCCACACCTGAGGATCAGTAAGCTAGTATATTTTGATCTTTTCTGGCAAGAAGTTGTGGACATTTGGATATTAAGTTCTAAAAGCTCTGCCCTGGAGAATAATTTTGAGAGCTGACTTGTGTTAACTGGAGCACCCCAAATCATTGTTAGAGCGGGTGTCATGGCTTTGTAGATCAAGCATTATGCGGGTTTGTTATTTACTAATTCTTTGATTGGTAAGTGTGAATAGGGAAGAAAGCTTGTATTGCAGAGAACAAATACCAGCCTTACTCTGTTTAGGAAATATGATGCTGCTATGTCCCTGTGTAACAGAGCTAATTGCACTAAAGCCAGACTGACACTTTCTTACTTAAATGCCATTTTTTACTTGAGAATGTGTTTTTCACTACTTCCTTTAAAGCATTCTACTTCTTCATTTAACATTGGTTTAATTTTAAACAACTTTTGAAAATTGTTGCCTGGCTCGCTGATGAACTAATGAGTCAGTGAGAAGCAGCTGAAGAACTACTTGCTACAGTGGTAAGTGTTACTGCAGTTTCAGGTTTTTCTTCTAGAGTTTGATATTTATATGGAAATCTTAAGATTGGTAACAGGTTGAGCAATATAGTGCCATGCCATACATCAAAACCCTAGAAAAGGAGGAGAGCAGTGACTTCTGCATAAATCTGTCAAAATCTGCTAGCTTATGTAATTAAATGAAATCATGATTCAGGGAGAAGAAGTCACAACAGCTTTGCTCCTCTTCTGCTGTATTTGAGGAAGCAATTTGCCAGTTCAAACAGAGCTCCTTATGAGATAAAATGAAGGCAAACAGATGATAGTTTAAATTCCAATGCAGGCCCGGTTTTGCTTCAGCAAAGTTGTAATCAACATCTTAATGAAGGTTTCCCCAGAATAAGTCACAAATGTGACTAGGTAGTTGGTAAAATCTTATGCTTACCATATATTTGCATCTATGGAGGGGTTTCCTAAGTAAGCAGTATACTTGGTTTTTTGTTATGGACTTTCAGTGTTGTGATGCTGTTGCAGGTTCAGTTAGAGCTAAGGCTTTTCATGCCAAGAAGAGCTGGTGCTGAGTACTGCTGTCTGTAGCTGGCCTGGGTTGAATAGGATTTGTGTAGGTTTATGGGTGGAATTCATTCTGACCAGTAGAAGGCTTCTCCAGGAAATATTAATGATGCAGGTAAATCCTGTGTTTGTGAATAGCTTGTTGGCAGTCTCCTCTCATGGAGGCCAGGTACTTAGCAACTTTTAACACTGTCATGTTTTTGTAATAAAACCATTGGATTTCCTTTCTGTTTTGTACACGGTGAGTTTTAATAGATGTAAGTGAGACAAATTGGTGTATTTTAAACTAAGTAAGGATATATTTTGAAAAAATAAAATACTTTCTCTGTTATACTTAGTATTTTGTAAATTGACTACTTGCTTTTACAGGAGGTTTCTAGCAACTTGAATAGCCCACTTCTAGTATGAAATCTCCTGTACTGAGAAGAAATTAATCTACTGGCAGCTTTTACAAAATAAAAAAAATAGTGGTGCTTGGCATTTCAAATGTGCTCATTTTTCCTGGCTCTGTTATTGAAGAGAATGTGGTTAAGAGGTTGTAGTGAGGAAAAAAGGGCAGTGGAAGAGAAACCTCTCTCTACCAGCCTCTTCTATAGTCTGATATTCCTTATTTTATTGCTTGATTTCTTCTGTGATAGAATTACAGAAGCCTCTTCCAAAACAGCAGAAACTATTCCAGAAATAGAACCTTCTGAACCATTACAAGAATGGTCTGCTTTGGTTTTAGCTTGGTTCTTCTTTTGTCACTTTTTCTCTAAATAGTTTTATTCACTGAATTGTGGTAAAAGTAGGATTAGGGAGCAAATATTTATATCAGATACAATAGAGGCCTTTCAGGGTTTTTTTTTACCCAGAATACTTGTGCTACCTCACAGGCCAAACCTTTTTGAAATGAGTGGTCTGGGGCACACAGACACGCCAGGTGCCATTTTCTTCATGGTAATAAAATTCTCTTTTGTTATGATGTAGGTTTTTTGGGGCATCAGCTTAGAATGAATCTCAGGGGAAAAAACATTTAGTCTTGCTGCCAGCCAAGTAGGCCTCTGTTTTTTAAAGTTACTTCTCAAATTTGAACAAGGACTTTGATCTTCAACTTGGTGAAAGCATGGCCTTGTGTGTTGAGATATTTTGAGATCCTCTGAATTGAAGTTCAAGGCTGTAAGAGTTTGCATAGACATTTCAGATCTCCAGCTTTTCAAAATAATACCAATTGGGACGTCTTAAGAGTTGTTGAGTTGCTGTACTAATGACTTGAAATAAGCTCAATTATAAGTGAGGTCATGTTTTGAAAAGAGGTATGAACAATAGTAAACACCATTCAAGACCTTGAAAATGTCTTCAGCTACAACAGCCAAAAAGGAGTCTTGAAAGAGTGGGAGAAAAAGGCAGTTTTGTTAGGATTTAAAAAAAAATTCTTCTGTTGGGAGACTTGTCTTGAATTTTGCATATTTTAATTAACCATCTTAGTATTGACATGCATTTGCACTTAAGAGTTTTTCCAGTCAGGGTGTAAATACTGCCAGGAAATGAGTTGCTCGCTTCTGTTGTCTGAGCAGGGGAGAAGGTGGGAAGATGTTGCATGTTACTAAAGGTATTCTCCCCTTCAAACTCAAATGTTGTGTATCACTTAATATCTTTGGGTTAGTAGCTTTTAAATATTAACTTTAACATACTTAAATCTTACCACTGTTGCCAAAGAAAACATATTGTCAACAAATTTAACGTTGTTATGCTGGGACCCCAAGGGTACCTCAGGATAGTATGGAAATGAGCAAGGAGAAATCATTAATTTAGTTTGTCTTCCTAAATTTCTTACTTTTCTCCCTTTTCTGCCTGAAATAAAGTAGAATGTCCTTATTTTAGAGTGACTGGAGGATCTTCTGCATTAGATCTCCTCCCTGCTTCTTGCAGAGTGTATGTTTGCATGGAAACAAGATCAGTATTCTGCTTTCTTTGCCCCCACATACCGTTGATTGACTGCTTGCTATGATTTAAATTGAATCCAATGTTGATGGGATTTTATCAGCAATCTTAGTGGAAGTTTCCCTTTTTCTTAGACAACTTCCAGGCTTCAGAAGATGCATTAGAATAACTAAAACAAAAAGAAAAAAAATCCATTTTATGATCATGCAAAATAGCTTGAGACTGGTAGGATATCTGAGTTTTCAGTATTAAAGAAAAAAAAATCTACTGCTAAAGTTTTACTTTTTTGAAATAAAATGTGTATTAAGAAAAAAACCAAACCAAAACAACCAAGGAATATAAAAACAAATTCTTAGAGTTATACAATATCTGACAGGAATGAGGAAGTCATTATCCTAAAGCTATCAACAGTGTGATGTTTAGAATTATATGTAAAATATTTCCTGCAAACTTCTTTAATTGCTGAAACAGGAAAAAAGGTTTTCTGACATTTGATTTGTTTTTAGAGATGATCAACAAATATGTTTGGATCTGCCACAGTATCCATCCTTTTTAGCAATCAGATATCGCTCAAAAATTGCTGTCTTCAAAGGGAAGCAAATTTAAATTTTTAAGTCAATTTTTATGGAGCCCAAGCCATTATATTTGTTTCCTTTAGTCAAAACAAAAGTTCCTTTTTTTCTAACATGTTACCTGGAAATAAGTATGCCTAAAAAGACAAATATTAAAGTAGTTGAATGTAATTAATAAAAGCTTTACAATGAAAATATTTGTATAAAAATGTAGGCATTATTATTTGTTCTGGTTGTGTAACCTTTGCAAAAACAGGTGAAGCTGTACTCTACAGATTGATTTGTTTTTTTAGCTTTGTGCTGCTTCTTGTGAAACTGCAAATCACGTTATTACAGCCTTTCTGTATAATAAATTGAATGTGATAGTCTGTTATATTGTGAAAATGATTGTTGGTGATCTAAATCTAAACCCAAAGAAATTCTTTTGAAAATGTCTCATTTGGATTTTTGTGTGTGTCTCCTTTTCTCCTGTGACTTTGAGCATCAGTAGTTTTATTGAGTGCAAGCTCTTTAAAAAGTACACGCTGAAAAATATTCAACAATTAAATTGTCTTACAATGCTTTCAAAGTACTAGCAAATAGTTGCAGCCCTGTCAATTAATGGAACAGTTTTCAAACATCTGAAACCCTTTCCAGCCACAGATTGATGATACAAATTTTTGATTACCCTATTAATAGAGATCTAAATTAAATCTAAAAGGGGCTCTTCTGTAAGAGCCATGCTTACATATTTTCTGAGTGAGCTGGTACTGTAGACCCGAGATATTACCCTTCTACTTTTTGGTCATGCATTTTCTTTTATATTTAATTAGTGTTTTGTACTGACTCCTCTGTTTCTTTACCATGGTACTGTATTTTGAAAAAGTGCTTTAAATTCAAGTTGTTTAGCAATTACCCAGCTCCAAATGAGACCACAGGGTTGCAATTTTAATTTTCTTCTGTGTTGGCTCAGCCCATAGAGCTCTGAAAGTGGAGCACTTTAAAATAAGCTAATACTCTTCTGCAGTGTATTTTGTGGATGTCAATTCAGTTTCATGGATTTGATTGAATTTTTTAAGATTTCCAGTTTTTTAGAAACGGTTTCTTTTTTGAATTATACTTGGAAATGGCTGTGCACAGTACTGGGGGAAAGAGGACTATTTCAAATTGAAAGTCTTAGTATTACTGGAAGTTTTTGCATAAAAATATATACTTGAGTAAAATAGATATCAGGTGTCATAACATATGTCCTGAATAATGTTAAGAAATTAAAATTTTTTAAGCAATATTGATTCCAGATGAAAGTAACTCACTTGAAAAAATGGTTAATAAAAGGCATACTTTGAAAGTATATTTTTGTGTTTGTATATTTATACATATACAGACACATGCATGTGTATATAGATACATATTTTTACTGTGACTCTATTGATTTTAATAATGTTTAAACCAGAGATAATTTTGGGTTTAATATTCAAAGATGTACAATGTTCATGGTCTTTGCAGTACTGATTTTCTAAGTCCTAATCGTTTATCTCTTTATCAGACCTGCTCTAATAGGTATTTAGTGCATATATCTGTGAATAGTACAATACTGCTTAACTTTATATCCTTTTTTCCTGGAACTATTTGCTCAAATGGCTTAATGAGGCAAAGGATTTGTTTTGATGAAGGTGGATTTGGAAACATTGAATCATTTTATGTGTTCTGATAAAAAGGCACATGTACTATGGCCGGGGATGGGGGTGTTTTCACAATGATCGAAAAAAAACCCAAATCCCAAGCCCTGCATGTGTGTTTTGCTTCTTAAATAGAATTTGCGCAATGATAACATTACTTATGGATTTTGAGCTAATGATTTAGTCAAGTTACACTTTGCTGCCTAATGCTACTGTTGTGGTTAAGTGTAGCTACTTTCTTTATCACAGCCATGTGCTTGCTTTTATTTTACCCCATATCTATATTTACTCTTTTTCTCTTGACTTGCAGCTCTTTGCCAAAACCAACCCCCCAAAAGGTCTTTATGTCTATGGAGATGTTGGTAAGTATCATTTGCATCCAATAGATTTTTTCCTAAATCTATTCAGATTCTGAAGTGTCTGAAAGCTGTATGTTTATGTAGCTTTATTAGTTTAATGAATTTTACTGGATGTAACATTATGATGTTATTTAGTGTAATTACACTCTGAATGCTGGAAGCTGTTTGATTGGACCACATTACTATGTGTAGTTGTTTTCAGTGTTACCCATTCTCTAATACTTAAGAATGCAATTTAAGAATATGGGAACTAATTGTGGGAGAGAATTCATATATTCTAATTGTAACAGTGCAGCATGAAAACATACGTGCTTTCCAAATGAAATATTAACATGTTTTATGGGTGTATGGGGAGTAATTTGTGCAACCTTTGGGCCACGTCTGTATTTCAAAATAGAAAAATAAAAATGTAGTTCTTTCAAGTTTTTGAACAGAAAACATAACTGTTCCTCACAGCAGCCTGGTCTTGTACTTACCCTGTGGAAAATTAGAGTTTCATTAGGGCCAAGCTAACAAACAATCATTACTGTAATCAGTACATGCTGCTCTTAAATTAACTACCTGTTGAGTGTTTTTTATTGTTCTTACTTGAAGGCACAGGAAAGACAATGGTGATGGACATGTTCTATTCTCACTTAGAAGCAGAAAGGAAGAAGAGAGTCCATTTTCATGGCTTCATGTTGGATGTACACCAGAGTAAGTGCAGACACAGGTATTGACAAGAATTTTATATAACACAGTATCTATTAAAAAGACTGTCTCATTTTCATATTAATCACTGTAATTTTATTTAAATATATAAGCATAAAGAAAAGTAAAAAAAAAAAAAAATGGGAGAAAAGTTAAAGCATGTTAGCATTGTGTATCATACCAGCATAGGTATTAATTGCTTATTATTTCTCAAGTATCTTTCCTGAAAAAAAAAATATACATACCTGGTTGTATATGTATGTTTGTTTTCCAGGTGCTAATTAGCTTACCTGGAATCTGAAGAAGGAAATTGCTAAAACTGAAAATGTAAAGGTTAAACTCACTCTGTACCTTGGATAAGCAATAACTAAATCAGATATAAATGCCAAGGAGAAAGGAAACTATTCTGGTTGAGTAACTTAGATATAAATGCCAAGGAGAAAGGAAACTATTCTGGTTGAGTAACTTAGTAATAACTGTCAGTAATTTAGAGGAAAAAAGCAGTAGGAAGAAGTACATCCTGAGTTTCTGAAAATTTTCTGATCAGCTGAATAAGGCACTTTGTTTTGACAGGAATGCTGTTCTAGATATTTTAAAACTTGCTTCTGTTTCTAAATTTTATGACCTTATAATACTGTCAAATTGTTAGCTATTGCTGTATTTTACAAGTGTTGTGACAGCTGCATTTTTCTTGGGAAGCTTTCACTGGTATCAATAACTCGAGCCACTTTTTAGTGCCCACTTTTCAATCATTGCTGGGTCGCTTGAGATTTTGTTTCCATTTCTTGTCATTTGTGCTTAATCCTAGCAAAGGTAGCTTCCTTCTGCAGGCTCCTTTTTTTCCTCAATCTTTGTTTATAATCAGATGCAATACAATCCATGAGACAGTAAAGTATGGATTTAATAATCTTACCTTACACCATTATCATCATCTTCACGTGTTGAAGTATCACTGTGTTGCTACATCTGCCTTCTTTTAGCTAAATGCATTCTAAGAATATCTTCAGAGCAAGATAAAACTGCAATTTGTATCATTTTATAGAAGATAGAGTATCGGTGCATAGCATTCAAGATGTTTTTGACATTTGTTTTACAGCCTTCTAAACAAAATAAGAATCACAAAATCTGTGAGATTTTTACTGTTGTGTGGTTGTGGCTGTAAAGTGTTTTAGCCTCTTGAAACTGGATTAAGTTTGAAGCTTTCTTATTTTTACTGGACCAGTTTACTTTCATTTGTTAGCTAAATAATTTGTTCTTCCTATCTTAGAAAAAGAAATAATAAATATTTGTTCTTTTCCGTTTTATCATCTAAGGAATACATCGCCTTAAGCAGAACTTACCAAAGAGAAAAGCAGGATTTATGGCCAAATCATATGACCCAATTGCACCTGTGGCAGAGGAAATAAGCAAAGAGGCTGCTCTCCTGTGTTTTGATGAGTTTCAGGTAAGAAGTCATAGATTACTCCTTCATTTCAAGGGAAACTTCATAAAATTACTTTTGATCTTAAAATACGATACTTGTTACTGCTAATACAGTATTTGAATCACTGGCCACTAGTGACTGGTAGAAGTTAAAGACTAGAAGTCACTTCACAGTTTTGAGGATGGTAGGGTTTGGGGTTTTTTTCCACAGCGTTCAAGATGCAAGTTAGCAGTGTAAGTCCCCTTGCAGTGCTTTTGTTTGCCAGTCTGGTCATTGATCGTGCAAGGAGGTATTAGAGTTTGTCTAGAGGCTCTTGAATTCTTCAGGACAGGGACCATCATCCTGTACTGATTCTGTACAGTGCCAGCTGATGCTTGCTTGCCACTGATCTTTGCTTTTGTGGTTCATATAATACAACAAACACTCTGAATGTGATTAAGGATTTTAAGAAACTTCTACTGAATTAAATGTGAAAATTAAAAATAAATGTATGAAATGATCTTTGCCCAAGCCAGCTTGATTATTTAATTTGTTTCACACAGCTTGTGCATATTAAGGGCATGTCACAAACTTAAATTGTTTATAAAAATGTTTAATAAAAAAGTAGGGGTACTTGGCAGCTTTAATCAGCTGAGATTTTTTTTTAATTCAGAGGGAAAATGCAGAGCAAGATACGAACAGATCTGTGTTAGTTCTCGAATCACCAATAGTAAAATAATCCGTTAAGTGAAATTGTCTGTTATGGTGTTAAATTAATGCTATTTGCAGAAATGGGTGGAGCAGTTTATATCTCCTAGCTGTTATTTTGCAAACCTGCACACTTGAGTAAGTAATTGTTCTATGGTCAGCTCCCATGAAGGGAATTTTGGTCAGGTAACAGTTATTCTTGTTTTAAGTTTCTGTTGCATTTTTCAAGCAGGGGTAGTTTCAGAATGTGTGGGGTCATTGCAATTGCTGCTGTTCGATCATTTAATTTGTGCTCTGTCCAGTGAGCGTGATTATGCTGGGCTTCCAAAACTTGACTGTAAAGTCTAAATAGAGAGACAATTGTACTTAGATGGTGAAGAAAGGAGAAGGTTTGGAGAGGGAAGTGTTAACTCCACGGTATGAAATGCCCAAATGGCAGAAAATGGCTGTACCATGTATTAGTGTAAATATCTGCTTTTCTGTATAAATGCTCACCGCTTTCATGTGGTGTTTACAGACAGTCTGTCATATTTCCACATTGTAAAGGGAGAGGCTGTGGTATATTTTGTTCCCAAGCTGATTGCCTGCTCCCCCTGCTGACTTGCTTGAGGTACACCAATGACTTCAGTTGTAAAAATCATCTCTTCTGTTGAACTTTCGCAGCTGGGAAATTAATACAAGAACTATACATTTAAAATGTGTTTCCAAGACCTTGCATTAATAAGTGAGTTTTTAAAATCTACTTGGTTTGGATATACTAATTTTCTAAATTCACAGATTTCTGAATGGCTGGATTTCTTGCCCGATTTTCTGTAACATGGAACTCTACGAAGGTTTTGCCTGATAAGAGGAGTTCCAGCTTTCTGAAATTTTGCAGAAGGCAAATTTGGGATAAGAAACCCTCTGCTTGAATAGTCATGAAGTAGTGCAGTGACTGGAAGAGGAGCTCACATGGTGAGACAATTAACATTAATACTAAGGAGCCATATTTAATTTGGGATGTTTGCAGCTCATTTCTGCAGTGGAGATCATGGTTTTATTTCCCTGCAGTCTGGTTTACTAGCATTTAAAGAATTGCTAGATGAAAATGAAACTGGAAAGAGCTGCACGCTTAGAACATACACTGCTCTGACTTGTGGACAAAGCAGCTCTCTGTTTTGACAGATGAAAAGTGAGGTTGTTTTGCAAAATAATAGTGTGTGGAGACAACATCAGAAAACTATTGAGATTTGCTTTAAACACTTCAAGTTGCTTTCAGATGCCTGCTGAACAAAAAAAAGGAAATAAGTTGAAATTAATTATTCATTTATCTTAAGAACAGAAACATGGATGAGTGGTATTTTAAACAGGGACAGCAGAACATATTGTTAATGCTCATTTTGCAGAGGAAACGAAATGCAGAACTTCAGAAGACAAAAGCATTGTTGAGGTTGCATTTTCCTCATTGACAATGGGCTAAAGCAAAACAGAAGTATTCTGAAATAAATCTTCCTGCAAAACCCAGAGAACTATTAAGCAAGTGGAGAATTGACTAATTGATCTAGAAAAATATTTCAATACTTCTTGTAAAAGTAGTTTTCTGTGTTCCAAAGTATTGTTGTATTTAAAAAAAAAATTGCTTTAATGTTTCTTTGTGCAAATACTGTGTGATGGCCAGGACCTCAGTGCCAGCACTATGCTTCTGTGTTTGTCCATTTTGAAGCAAGATTTTGTCAGCAGTTGCCTGAGCTCCAGGCTGTCAGTTTATTAAAGCATTGCTATGTCTTACTGATCTTTGTCATACAGTTTACTGGAAATATTCAAGTCTTTTTTTAATCACAAAACTCTTAAACCATTCTGAAAATGTCTTCATTTTGAAGAAAAACCCTTAAATTAAGCCATTTGTAATTATGAGATTTCAGAGCACAGGGGTAGCTAGCAGTGACCAAATAACTATACACAGGTGGTTAGAAGCTCTCATTTTGGCACAGGACTGTAACCTTTGTTAATATTGATAATAAAACCAGAGTCCCTCCTTCTTGAGAAGCTGAGACATGATGCAGTGTTAACCTTAAGGTACCAATAGTATCATTTGGACTACAAAAGTGAACTAACAATTTAGGGAGTTTTTACTAACCTGCATTCTATTAAAAGCCTCTAATAAAAATTAGGCTCTTATTTTTGTGCTAATACTAATTGCTGATAATACATGCTTATGTTTGTCATTCATTACGTGGAACTGTACCAATCAGTGGCTGACTGAGTCTCAGGCACTTAAACATGTAAATTAACTATTAGTCTAGTGTCTTTGCTTTTTTTTCTTTTTTCTCTTAAATGCTAATGAAATTTCTCCATTCTCTCCTCTAGCAGGCTCTCCTTATTGGTAATTTGTAGAGTTTGCTTTTGTTATCATTTGTAATAAATGCTGGATACAGTAAAAAACATGAGAACTTAAAATCCTTTAGTTACTGTCTTCTACCTGCTTTACCTTGTAGAAATTTTTTATCTTTCCTGAAGTGTATTAGATAAAAAGAGTTCACATTTGCATCCTGGTCCTCAAAATGGCTCTTGCTTTTTGACAGAACTTTCAAGAGGTTTGTTGGGTTTTTCTGGTTTGTTTGTTTGTTTGGTGGGTTTTTTGGTGGTTTTTTTTGTGCGTTATTCTTGGGGATTTTTTGTGTTTCTCTTTTCTGTTTTTGTAATGGAGCTCAGAATTCTGCATCAAAAACCAGTTCTCATTAATAGGAGAATGTTATTGTTTTTTTTTAAGTGAGCATTATTACTCTTTCATTCCCTGTTTGCTAAAGGCAGCATGCTTGCTTTGTAGTAATATTAAACAAAAAGGTTTGTAACAAAATTATTTCTATAATAGATTTTTAAAAGTTGGCTTTTACGTGTGCTTTGTGGTACAAGAAATTCAGTTACCCCTAAGATGCACATCTGTAGTGATTCCTTGTGTGTCTTGTGTTCTTAGGAATGGGAGAAATTCATAAATTTTGGTAGCCAGAAGAAATAAATTATTGATAAGTGAAACATAAGTGTGTAAAACATATGGTATGATAGTGAATTACTGTTTTTTTTTAATATCACCTCTTAGGGAGCAGAGATATGCAAATCTGAGGCATGAATAATTGTTTAAAATTTGTTTTTTATAAAGGAAAAATAATCCCTATTAAGGCATTCACAAAACAAAATGGAAAAAAATCTTTGGAAGAAGGAAACTAGTGTTTATGTATCATTCATTAAGAACATTATTGCTTCAAAACTAGCTGCCAGAAATGTAACCTAAGTCTTTTACCTAAGTTTTTAGTGTAGAATTATCTTTTTTTTTTTTTTTTTTTTTTCTGCACTGAAATGTAATTTAGAAATGGGAGAATTATGGGAGGTGGAGTAGAAGAAAACATTGTGCTGGGTAAAGCTTTCTGTGATGGCACATGTGTTGCCATCACAGCATACACATCTGAGGTGGTGAAAGCACAGCAGTCTGTCAATCTCTTGTGTAATGGGAATATATAACTCCCAGCATGCCACCGCTGGTTTATTTCCTCAGAACTGGGGTCTGTTTTGGCAAGCCAAAATGCAACAAGTGTCTTTATAATAACCACAGGGTCTGCAGGAAAATCAAGTGTAATGATCATAAAGGTGGTTTATGTATTAAGATGGTGAAGTCCTGTGAAAGAGGAATTGCTGGTTTTTCAGAAAAACTTGATCTATTTCTTTACAGCATTGTTCCTGGATCCTTTTATTTCTTGGTACTATAAAGCAAATTTGTTAAGCTAAAATTAAGATACTTATAGAAATTTTACTTAATGGCTTATCTTGTAGTAATTTTTTCTTCCTTACCCCTCCCCAGTATCACTTGTCCTACCCATTTTTATTTTTCATTCGTGTTTTGTGCCTGAAGGTTAGAAGAGGCTGACTGTGCTGGAAGTGACTGCCTGCCTTTTGATTATTCATGGACAGTAATAGAAGGCACTTAAAAAGAACAATGAAATTGCTTATTTTTGTGATGGGCCATCTGTTGAATTGTTTTTTGCAACAATCACACAATAGTATCTATGTCATATCATTCTATTTTCAACAGCAGCTGATTATGTATAGTTGGCTACTTGTCTTTATTTCTGAAGTCCCATGACCATTTTAAATTCACCTCTGCAAACCTTTGCCTCAAAGGTAATAGAAATGTAAAACAGCCGGTGTGTATCTCTTTTTATCTTCTGGGTTTTTTTTCATGTTGTTACTAATTAAGTAGGCTCTTAAATGTTTAGGTCTGTTTTCTGTGTCTCCCACCTGTAGTTTTATAATAGAAGTTAACATGGAATCATTTAGCAATTGGTAAAGAAATGGTGGAGTTCTGCAATAAAGAGTGGGCAAGTTTTGAAAGACTGTGGTACATTCACTGCTTATTAATTATCCCTTTTATTTTTTTCTCACCAAGCAATAATTAGAATCTTTTTCCATGGCTTTCACTAACAAGCATTTTCCTAGCTACAAAGCCACTTGCAGATCTATTGCAGCAGAAGCTGAAAGCAAGATATAACAAATGTGTTGTCTTCTCAGGTCACTGACATTGCTGATGCCATGATTCTGAAGCAGCTTTTTGAAAATCTCTTCCAAAATGGGGTTGTCGTTGTGGCAACATCTAACAGGCCGCCAGAAGGTAAAAACAAACATTCTACCAGTGTTACCCAAATCCAGTGAATCTCAGTATCTTGCAAAACAGTTGTGTTTATATCATACAGTATTTAAGGAACTCTGTAAGAATCAGAGATAGTCCAGCTTGTCCCTGGTTTTTCTTGTTCTTAAAGAAGGAAAGTTTTTCCACTTAATCTTACCGCTCCTGTGTCTCAAACTCAGAGTACTCCTTTCTCCACCACTCTCAAAACCTTCTCTTTTCTCATCTCCTCTACTTTATCCAAACCAGTGAGAGGGTGTTTGGGCGGAGGGCAGTTGAGGAGGGGTAAAATATTGCCTGTATCGAGTGTGTTTAAGGATAGGAAAAGATCAGATGCTGCAAAAGAAGGGAAATGATACCACATTCCTTCCCAGTTCCTAACTCAGAAACTTGCAGATGTGGTTTACCAGCTTGAAGGAGAGCCACTTACCAAGATGCCATTCTTACCTTCTTACATGCTGGTCTGAGAGAATTAAGTGGAGAGTTGTTTAAATTTCTACCTCTTCTTTACAGTGACTAGTCATTTCTAGTGATTAGCTAAGTAGATCCTTCTACAAAGTTCCCAAATCTGTATGGATTTTAACCGCACAGTAATTGTAATTTTTTGTAAAGGAGGAAAATGTTTGTGTTGTAGAGCATTAGCAGTTAGCATAATGCATAAACTTTAATGACATTTCAGATTGATCAATTTCAAATACTGAAGAGTTACCTTAATTGTTAACTGTAACAACCATTAATTTTCCTACCCAAATTAATTGAGTAGAAGACAATCATTAATGATGGGCAATTCTACAATGAACTTTATCTTAGCAAAAAACAAAAAAACAAAACCAAACCAATCAAAAAAACCCACCCAAATGTTTTTATTAGGGGAGAAAATTATTTCCCATTGGCTTATTTTCCTTTTTTTGCACAAACAAGATGGAATTGTAACTACTGTAGTTGTGTTGACTACAGATAAACTGAATGCTGGTGCTTTACTCACTTGAGAGCCATCCTTGGGGTTTTTTTTAAGCACTACTCTTTAAAGTTCAGGAGAATTTTTTACCATAACTTGAGGATTGTAGCCAATGTTTTAAATCAAGATGTCGTTTCATGACCTTTATTGTTGTACGGGTGTTTTTCATGTATATTAAGTCACTGTACCAGCCTGAATACATCCACCTGTATTAAGTATCCCAGAGAATGACAAGAACAACATTTCCAGAGCTGAGCTGTGTTGCAGTCCGGGTGTTGGCTGATGCCCCTCTTTGGTCACTGTTTGGGAATGCTCAGGGTGTGTCTGACATGCCCTGCATGAAAGGGAGTCAGGTTAGTGTAGTATGCTACACCAAGGTGTAAGACTGAATGGAGAGATTTGTTTCTTGTGGATACAAGAGGGAGAAATGGCTTTTTCATTAGAGAGCAGATGTGCCCAGCTGCTGACCATTAGTGATACACGTAACTTTGTTCAACTCCTGCCCCAGGAGAATGTGAGGGGACGTACTGAGACTGTATTTGAGGAGTCCTGGCTTCTTTTCTCCACCAAAATTACTGTTTATTTTTCTGATCTCGTGAAACAGAGACATAATACACAACTTACAGTCCTGTTAGCTAGAAGAGCTAATGGGAGTAGCTGTCTTACACTACTGTTGCATGGTCACTAATTTTTGCAAGTAAATACTCAATTGATTGCTATATATTTTAACAAATGTATGACTATCCTGATTTGCTCAGTTGGGAATGAGCATGATACATGGCTTCCTAGAACTTTGTTAGTAATTAGGATAATGGAATTGCCTTTACTGATAATTTTTCTAAATGTTTCCACATACTATCCAATTTTGTGAAAACCATTGTGTAGGTGCCCTGTTGCTGTCTCGTGGATGCAGCATCTTCTGTCCACCGTGAGGTGTTGGTAAAGCGTAAAAACTTTAGTGTAGCTGTATCCTTCAGGCCTTATGGGGAGTATAAAGGATAATCATAACCTGGCACGTGCTTTGTGTGGAATTTTGTTGATATGTTTGCCAGCTGTCTGTATTCTCTTATTCAGTCCTCTTGTCAGTTATAGGTGCTAAGCTGCCTTTTTGTAAGGCTTCCGAATATTAATGAAACAAAGTAGATCATCATACAGTTTTAAGTGATTGTGTTTTTAAACAAGTCATTGTGTTATGAGCTCGTTGGGCAGTTGGTTAATTTCCAGAGAAGAAAAGTTTATGTTGTATAAATATCTAGAGAATAAGCAAGATGAAAAATGCTACTTCAGTCTTGTTAATTTGTATTTTTTTGATGATGCAGATCTGCATTTTGTTACATAACATACTATTTTTTTTCTTTATTCAGTTGTATTTTTAGCAACTTTTCCTAAGTTTACATATTAATTTAATTTTCAGGTTTTTTGGCCTTAGGGGTGATCCTTTTTCTTGCTTTTGAGGAGGGGGTATACCTGGCAGAATTGCTAGAAGATAAAATGTACCACAGTATATCAAATAAGAATGGTGCTAACTTAGTGGAGACAAATTGTGTATTTTTAGATTGTGTGGGGTTTTTGTCCTCTGCCAAATACTTGGGTTTAGCAGTTGCATAGTTTGGCTTTACAATCTATACTAATGTATACCCAGCATTGCAAATATTTTTTATACCCTTACTTTAAAACAGATGCTGCTCTAATTTCTTCTGCAATAATTAGTTATATGTCATTAGAGATCTAAGTAATTTTTTGCTCCCTGGTCTTTTCACTTCTCAGGATGTTCCGTTCTTCCTTAAGATTGTACTGAATTTTCATATAGTAAAATAAGAGAAATGGATTTTGGCTCTCCTTTTCTGCCTTTTGTTCCTCCTCCTGTCTCTAGCAGCACTGAGTTCTATTTGCTAGACTAGAAGACAAGCTGACATTATTAAGACTAAGTAGCAAAATGGTGCTGATTTCTTTTCTTTCAGATCTGTATAAAAATGGTCTTCAGAGGGCTAATTTTGTACCATTCATTGCTGTGCTGAAGGTAAGGAGAGCCACTTGTTCAATGCTTTTCAGTTTTGCCTGCTTTATTAATCAGTTTGTAGAAGATTTGTAGAGGATTGCTTTGATGCAAATTTCCACATTTTATATATCTGCTTTAACTGTTTGGAGCAAAACTAATTGAAGATAAGGCAAGAAGGGACTTTTTTCTTCTGGAATTAACATATTTTTAAAGCTGTACTTTTTTAGCATGACAAAAAAAACTACTGTTTTATCTAAGACATCAGAAGGTGTTTGTTTGGATAAGACTTTCCTGCTGGTGCAGGTATGCTGTGTAACATAGTGTCCCTCTACTCATTTATACTGTGTTGTACTTGTGGATATCTTACATTTATAATGCTAGAACAGCTTGCTGTTGCTTTGATATAAGGAAAGTAGGGTTTGTTCTGTACCCCTCAATTGCCTTGTTTCTGGGTCTTTCTCATGTGTAAGTAGTGTTTTTCAATGGCTGTTTGTGAAGCTTCACATAATGTTCAACAAGCAGCAGCTCTGAAGCAAGCTTCCTTCAGTCTGCATGTTGTGTTGTGGGAGGTCAAAAACTACCCATTTAAATTAATAATGGAGGATCCTTCCACTGTGAATAACACAATTGGTGCTTATTTTGCTGTTAAAAAGAATATAAGCTGAAATGACACTTAGAAGTTCTGGACAAGTTGTGGAGATTTTTATTCACAAACTACAATTGTCTTGTTGTGTTATTGGGGCTAACATACAGGTCTCCTATCCTGCTCTGGATTGACATGACATGTAAAATGGAAATAGCAGTGTTTCCCTACTTCACAGAAGTATTGCTAGCATAAACACATAAATAATGTTAACTATGTTGGTGTCTAGGATAAAAGAATTGTAAGATAGAGTTTAGGTAGGTTTGGCTTTGTGATAGGAGATTTGGAATTGCTGAATTGATGCATTGACTGGATGTTTCTGCTCAAGTGGTCAGCAGTAAAGCAGCTGACCGTGCCTAGCAGTTTCAGTGGGCCCTTTAAGAATTATAAGATTGCTTAATTGCCTAAGAACCTTTGAAAATCCCATCTAATGTTGACATTTGTACAATTACCAGATTTAAAAGTTAATATGCCATTGACATGATTATGGCACTCAGGTGCATCTCAGAATGGCTGTGTATGAAGTCAGGGAGGTTACCAGTGAGAGTGGTTCTTACCTGGATGGCTTTAGAGAAGTAAGGAACATAAAAATAAATAAAAAAACCACTTCCATTTCAGATTCTTGAAAAGGGTTTATTTTGTAGCTGACTACATTGGATGAGAATTCCCAATCACAGAGTATTTTCAAGCATAAAAGTAGTTTAATATGCATTTGCTTTTTGAAATTCAGCAACCATGGCAAATAATTCTTTTCTATATGCCTTTCTTTGTTGACTCCTAATTTTCTCCCTGATAAACATAGGGCTCTTTAATTTCAGTGATCGTCAGGCTTTAAGAATACCTATCATGTGTGCTTGTTTATAGTTTCCTTTTTTGTCTTTTTAGCTAGCTGAATTAAAAAATATGAAATGTAGTTTATGCATCAGAACACCTCATCAGGACTGGGAAGGTAATAAAAATTTTTTAGTAGGGAACAGATGGAATGCTGAGAGAAGCAGTAAAGGTGGATTAGTCTAGAGAATGGAGTACTGCCAAACGAAGCAAGTAGCACAACCCAGACTAGAGGCAGATGAATGAAGGGAGAAACAAATGTTAACATAATTCACAAGGGCCTTTCTAAAATACTGGATTTTTTTGTTGTTGTTGTTCTTTTTCCCAGCATCTTTGTGTTTTAACACTGCTCTAAATATATGTGCCTTCAATGTCACATTAATAAATATTACCAGTGTAACATTATTCTTTCCCAAAGATATAATGACCAAAAGTTGGATCCAAGGAAGTTTATTCACAAAACGCTTCTCTGACCCTGGTTGGAAAGTGGAAGGATAAGGGCAAGGTATTAAAATTATTAATAAAAAAAAAAAATCAAAATCTACATTTTTAATTCAATATAGCAGAAGTCAGCATTTAAAAATCACGCTGGAATGTATTCTAGATAAGATTTTAACTATTAACCTTTATGTTACAAAGGTGTGGATAAAACACTGATACTCTGGCTTTGGTGGTTTGAGAAAAGCAGGTTTAGGCCTCCCTGATGTGTGTAGAATCTGTGTGATGGCATTGGTGTGAATGGATAAAGTAGCTTCTGCCTCAGCTGTGCATAATTCCTTGACTAGAATATGTAAATATGATTTCTTCTAGGATTTTTGTGAAAATATGAAGGAAAACACTGCATTGGTTGCTTGCAAATGTTTGATTTACTGTCTTCTCAACCTCTCCCTCTCTCCAAGCCATGTGTGTCTGTGGTAATGTCAGTCTCATCTGACCTGTTCCCTCGTACTGGCTTTGACAGCTGGGACTAACTCCTGTCGTCATTTTCTCTGGGCTCAGAGCTGCCCAGGGGGCTTTTGTTTGGGGTTCAGTGGGAGTGAATAGGTGGGTTGGTTTTGTTTGGTTTTTTTTCAGTAATTAACTCTTATGATCATAAACCTTAAAATAAGACTTGAGCACTAAAAGTAGTTCAAGTTCAGCACAGGAATTTCAAATTCCTTTAAATGTTCTTGGGAAGGTGGAATGAATGGAAACTATTGGCAGTATATTTTTGTGAAGAGATGCTTCACTTGAAATAGATTTCAGGCTCTTTTCATTCCTTGTCAGTGGAACACGTAGTTTCTAGATACCTGGGTAACTGTTACACAAATCTTTTCTTGTCTTCAAATGATCAAAAGAAATGGTTTATTCCCCAGATCTAGAGCTACCCATGTTCATCCTGAATTTTGTTTTTATTTTCTGCAGTCTATGTAATTCCAGTGTCTGTGTTTGTGTTCTATTGTGTATCTATTGTGTTCTATAAAGATAACTGTAAACCAGCTTCTGTGGAATAAGCAAAAAGGTGAAATAGCACTCTAGGGAAGATACAGTTTTCTTCCAGAGTTTGTCCATATTTTCTTTCTAGGTGGTAGATTACTGGGGCAAGTTACTGTTTTGTGAGGTTGCAAGTGAAAATTTCCAACTTTTAGAGCCACATGAAAACTTCTGGTCCTACAGCTGGTAGCCACGTAAAAGCCCCAGGTCTGTGTCATTGGGCAGGTCAGTAGCACCACTGGCAGCTTTTTTTGCCCTGTGTGTGCTCCCAGTTCAATTCTGATCTTATCCCAGTGTTCTCTTCTTTTGAAATATTAAATAGTTTGAGATTTATTTTTTCAGCAATTCTTTAATCCTGTAACTCAAAGCTTTATAAACAGGGGAAGACTCTGAATGATCAGTTCATTGTTGTGGCTATGATTCTTTGGGACACCATATTCCTTATGAAAGAGTTTAGTTTCTGCAACAGATAAGAGTGCTTCTTCAATCCATGAAATTTTACAAAGACAGAGCTTTACAGTGAAAAGAAGTATTAGGAAGAAAAATATTTTAATTCTATAATTATAATTTGATTCAGTCTCTTCTGATTGAGCTTTTAATCTCACAGGATCTCTTGCTGAGCATTTTAAAGTGTGTGGAATTCCTATGTGATTTTTTTTAAAGACAGTTCTTGAGAAAACCATTGATTGCTTGCTCACAGTTACTTTGTTCAAATGCAGAGAGCAGAAATACTCCAAAAATTGTTACTCTCAACCTAAAAGAAATATACAAAGTTTCTAAATGTTTTAAAGCTGATTTACAAATAAAGCTATGTATATTGGAGTCACAGAATCGTTAAGATTGGAAAAGACCTTGAAGACTGTTGAGTCCAACTGTTAACCCATCGCTGCCAAGTCCACCACTAAACTGTGTCCCCAGGTGCCACATCTGCATGTCTTTCTCCGGGGATGGTGTCTCACTTCCTTGGGCAGTCTGTTCCAACGCTTGACAAACCCTTTTGGTGAAGAAATTTTAACCCCAGGTCCTTTTTTGCTGTGGAGCTTTCCAGCCATTCTCTCCCCAGCCTGTAGCTCTGCCTGGGTTGTTGGGAGCCAAGTGCAGGACCCAGCACTTGACCTTGTTGAAGCTCACACCACTGGCCTTGGCCCATGGATTCAGCCTGTACAGATCTCTCTGCAGAGCCTTCCTGCCCCCAGGCAGATCAACACTGTGCTAATCTTTAACAACTTGATGTAAGATATTATGTGAGGCTCTTGGGGGAAAAAAAAAGGGGAAAAAAGAATGCTTTAATGCTTTAATGTTTTGGCAGTAATTTTGACAACATTTTAATTTTGGCAGACATTTAATGAAGACATTTACTTCAACCCTTAACTGTTCTGAAATCCTAACTCTAATTCAGTGGCTAGTTCAATGTTTCATTCTCTGAAAATCAGTAAGGAAAGCTCCTCAAATAATTTGTTGTGTAGAGTGTGTAACTTGAGTGAGCAGTTCTTGCAATTCCAAAGGTTTCCTGGAAGCATAGCATGAAGCTTCCAAATGTCAAGCTGTGTTGAAGTACCAAGTATGTAACTTCTTTGTTTTGTCAGGTTTTCTTCATGCAATAGACTTGCACTACACTAAATTTTAACTAAAAGTCAAAAAATTTTAGGGCCTTTCGTAGTCTGAGTATAACTTTAAAAGGCCCAATTTTAGAAAAAAAGTCTTTGGCTTTGACTACCTGCGTTTTGCTTTGAGTGAAGGGGAGGAATCAGCTAGAAATCTATTGTCAGTAGGACATGAAATTGCTTTCAGCATCTTTTTTTTCCCTTCTTGTTTTTCTTCTGCTATTAGGGACCAAATAATTATTTATTTTAAAACTGGTTAAAATTACTTTTAACTGTAAGTAAGCATTGTACACTTGTCTCAAGTAGAAAGCAATGCATTATTTATGCACTGTATTTCCCTGTCTTTCTTGAAATCAGTTAATGATTATTTATTTAGAATGTTGCCGGCTGTGGTTTTAATTAAAGTGCACCCTTTCCTACAAAGCAAGAAACTGAGGAATTTAGTTGTCAATAGCTTAGCATGAGAATGT